CCACTCCACCAGCCCCTCTCCTCTCCCTCCCCTCCCCTCCTCCTCCTCCCTCCCTCCCTCCTCTCCCTCTCCCTCTCCCTCTCCCTCTCCTCTCCTCTCCTCTCCTCTCCTCTCCTCTCCTCTCCTCTCCTTCCTTTCTCTCTCTCTCGCCCTCGTCTCCCTCTTTCCTCCCTCTCCCTCCTCTCTTACGGTTCAAGACTGTGTCGTCGTCTGACCCATCATCCGACGAGTCTTCTCGCGCCTCGTTCTCGTCGTCTGAATCATCCTCCGGCAGCGGACAACTCTCCACCTGTCATGTGCGGTGAGCTCCAAAAAGGCGACGGTGATGATTAGTATGTGGAGTTGTTGTTGTTGTTGTTGATGATGATGATGATGATGATGATGATGATGATGATGATGATGATGATGATGATGGAGATGATGATGGAGATGATGATGGAGATGATGATGGAGTTGGTGGAGAAGTTGAGACTACTTGTTTCAGAATCTTCTCTTGAAATTCTTCGAGCTGAAGACTCTCGTTGGAACACCACAATGAAGCCATTGCCTGCCTCGCGTCATCTTCACCGTCTCAGTCTCTCGCCCCTCACTCGGCACAGCGACTCGCCCATGGCCTTGTAGTGTTGGATGCCAAAGTGACTGTCGCGCGGCTCGTGCTCCTGGTCTGCTCCTCTCTCATCCCTTGCGAGCAACCTCACAGCTCACCTGCCCCTCCGAAGGAAGCCTCCATGGTGTAGCTGTGGTCGGTGAACTGACAGCAGATTCAAGCACAGCAAGGGGAGGGAGGGGGAGGGAGGGAGGCGAGGGAGGGAGGCGGAGGGAGGGAGGGAGGGAGGGAGGGAGGGAGGGAGGGAGGAACCTGCCGCCATACAACGACTCTTCCCGATGTCTCTTTTCTTCTCTTCACGTGGAAGCGACAATCCTTGCAGAGAGTAAGAGGAGACGAGGGAAGGGAGAGGCACCTGGAAGTTGAACTGGGGGGAAACATCCTCGAGGACAGCAGGGAACAGCCTTGCCTCCAGTGCTTTCGGCTTCTCTCTCGTCGCGTGGTTCTCCCCGTCTTCCCTGGCAGCCTCGTCGGACTCGAAGAGGAGGAGGAGGAGGAGGAGGAGGAGGAGGAGGAGGAGGAGGAGGAGGAGGCTTACCAGTACTTGGAGTCGCAGCCGTAGATGAAGACATTCTTCTTCACGCTGTGTCCGTGCCTGACATGAGGGGTAAGGGCCCGAGGAGCTGTCAAGTCCGACTGACAAGTCGACGAAGAGCGCGATGCCTCGCTCGTCTCGCATTCTCGCCATCATCTCCTTCATGTGATGGATGGTGGGTTGTAGCGTCGGACAAGGGTTCTGCTTCCCCTCAGTGCTGCTCCTTCTCACCTCCCCTCCTCTCCTCACCTTCCACTTCCTGTTCAAGTCGTTGCCTGCCATGCCCGTCCTGCGGGGAGTGAGGGACGAGGAGAGCCTGGAGGGTCACCGGTAGTTGCCGATGATGACGCCGTCGGGGTTGATCATCGGGACGATCTTGAAGACGAACTGCTGGCGCAGCTTCTTCGCCTCCTAGTCTGACGGTCAGGGGGGAGGGCGAGCGAGTCAGCGGCACCTCATGCGAGCTGAGGAGGAAGTCGATACACCCGTGCATCATCCAAGACGAGTTGGTCTCTCCCGGATGTACCCGCGCTGACAGCACCACGCACTGCTTCTTCTGCTCGTCCTCTCAGCCTCTTCCACTCGCATGCCGCTCACCTGAGCCTCCGCCTCCTCGCCCGTGACCTCCCGCGGGTCCGTGATCGTCAGCACTTCACATCGATTGCCTGCATGGAGTCGGCGAGCAGACCCTCAGCTGAGGCCTGACCTGCGATGCTGCGGCAGAGCAGCTTCCGTCGGAAAATCTTGCGGATGTCGACGTCGGACTGCAAGGGACTCAGGTGGGTCATAGCTGGAAATGAGAAGGAGCGGAGGACGAGGAGAAGGAAGAAGAATGTGGAGCTTCTCGTGGTGCAGGAGGTTGTAGAGGAGGAGGAGGAGACGATGGCACCTCCAGCTTGCGGATGTACTGCTGCAGGTCCGAGTAGGTGTAGGGGAAGCAGTGAGCGAGGTAGCAGATGTCGTTGCCGTGCGGAAACTGCAGGGAGAACTGGAGGGAGTAAAAGTTCCTGACGATGCTCCTGACGAGCTCAGTGAGTTGAGGGACGGAGAGCGTCAGGTCACCTCTTCGAGTACTGATAGTCGTTGCGATGGTACGAGATGTCGAATCCAGCTCTATGCCACCCTCGCCCTCGCGTCTGCTCCGCGTCAGAGGCGTGGCAGCGAGCGCGTGCTTGCGTCACTTTGGCTTCTTTCTCGGAGTGGAGCAGAGGCTTGAGTCCCTTGCTGTACATGCTCGTTCGCTTGTACAAGTTCACTAGCAGGCCTTCAGCTCCTCTCTTCCTCCCCGTCTCGTACCGATGGTGAACTTGTAGGTCACGTCCTTTCTGGTGTTGCCAACTGAGAAGAAGTACCACTGCGTGTGTCCGTTGGTGTTGAAATCGTTCTTCAGCACCTGCCCCTCTCGTCGTCATCTCCTCCCCTTCACCTCCCTCTCCTGCACCAGCTCGTACTCGAACTCCGCCACCTGATACGCCTGGTACAGGTTGCCTGCCAGCAGTCAGCGGGGAACGGGAGGGCGGGCGAGGACCGGACTCGAAGAGCGACTCGAAGATGAGCGTTGTGTCGTTTTCAGTCTGAATGTGGTAGTACCTGACCCCTCAGCTCACTCCCAGCTGACTTCCAGCCCTCTTCCCGCGAGCTCACGTGTCATCGTCGGCCTTTGGGGTCACCAGCCTCCGCGCGTTGAGCGTCACCGAGTCGTATACCAGCTGCCGCACGCGTGATGGAGAGGGAGAGGGAGAGGGAGAGGGAGAGGGAGAGGGAGAGGGAGAGGGAGAGGGAGAGGGAGAGGGAGAGGGAGAGGGAGAGCTAGCGCGTCTCCTCCATCCACCTTGCCGGCGAGCCCCACAGGGTAACCTGTCTCGGAGACGACTCCCTTCTTGCTCACCTGCTGCGGGTCAAGCTCACGACCTGACCTCCTGCCTTCACCACCTTCCCCATGATCATGTCCATTTCCCCAGGCGTGAGTCGCTTGTCTCTGACCTCCACCAAAGCTTCTTCCTCCGACTCTTGACACAGCAGAGGAGGAGCGATGGGTCTGCTCGTGTCATCAGGAGCTACTGGTACATTGCGCAGGTTTCACTTGAGCTTGAGAAGCTGCCCCGTCTTGGGCGAGTCATCTTCGAACAGGTCTCACAAGAACAAGGAGGCATATCCCATGCTCACCAATGAAATCATCCCAACTAGTCCCGTCCCGTTCGTAGAAGAGAGGCTGCGGGGCGCAATGCTCCTCTCCTTCGCCTCCCTCACCCTGACATGCTCTCAGATGTCTCGCCAGTGCAGCCAGAGATTCTTACTGTCCCTGTTCTGAGGTCTGCTCCTCTTCCTCCTCCGCCTCTGATTCTTCTTCATCCTCTCCTCCCGACCATTGCCCATCATCGCCGTCGGCTTCATCAGGAGGAGACAGGTTTGGGTCCTTGCCTGCCTCGGTCTTGAACATGTCGCACTCTACTTGAGCATCTGCATGGCAGTCATCGCGCAAGAGTCGTGACGACGTGACATCGAACAGAGGAAGAGAACAGGAGGGGAAGGGGGGAAGAGAGAAGGAGGGGAAGGTTGCTAGCACTCACATCAGTCTTGCGCTTTCTTGCCCTGGGCTGTCCCGGATGGTCTGATCCTACAGGTTGAGGTGAGTGAACCGCTATCTTCTCTACTCCTGCTTCATCTTCCCGCTTTTTGGCTTCTCCCTCTAAATTTTAACTCCTCGCTTCCCCCTGCATCTCCTTGCTGCTCTTGTTACCTTCTTGCTATTCTCGTCTCTTTCACCTCTCGATGCTTAGTCTGCCTCTCTCCCCGCACACGCACGTCCTCCCGCCCTCTCTAGCTCCCTCCTTGTCCTCCCGCCCTCTCTAGCTCCCTCCTCGTCCTCCCGCCCTCTCTAGCTCCCTCCTTGTCCTCGTCCGAGGGAGGGAGGGAGCATGGAGTACCTGGGTGCACCGACAGTATCAAATTCTTTTTTACTTTTACACTTGTTTTTTAAGCTTGATCAAGGGAGGCGAGGCGGGCTTGTTTCTTCTCGAGCAGACGCTTGACGGGGCTTGACGCCTGGTGATCGATCAAGGCGTTGAGACAGACAAGCTCGCGCTCCACGGCGTTGAAGTCATACGTCAACAGGAAAACTCCTTCAGCCGACCGAGTCCAAGTCTTCACCGAGCCATCACAAGCTGAGAAGGTGAATAAAGATTGTCCTGCTTGCCCCCAGCTCACCTCGTCGATCGAGCCTTCATGGCCTTCCAGCTCTTGACAGCTCTTGTCATGCACTCCCCACACTTTTACCGTCCCGCATGAGCTCGACCAGCCGGCGAGTCTCTTCCCATCTGGTGCCCAGCTCAGCTCTGTGATGCTCTTGGCAAGGTCGTCGAGCTCTTTACAATCTCCTGTCATCACGTCCAGCACTGTCTGGCTCCCTCCAGTCTTGGACCAGCTGGCAAGTTTCGTCCCATCTGGTGCCCAGCTCAGTCTCCGGGTTGTTCCTGGGGAACCCTCGAGCCTCCGAAGACTTGGAGTAGTCACGTCAAGCACTGTCAATATCCCCTCTGCCTCCGACCATCCTGCAAGTTTCTCGCCGTCTGGTGCCCAGCTCAGCTCACTGACCGATCCCTCGTGACCCTGGAGCTCCTGCCGGCTGCCAGTTGTCACGTCCCACACCTTGGCCTTCTTGTCTGACACTGACAGGCCTGCCAGTCTCTTTCCGTCCGATCCCCAGCTTAACTCCTTGATTCCTTGGGCTTCACCCTGCAGCTTCTGGAAGCTCCCTGTTCTCACGTCCCACACCCTCACCTTTCCCCCTGACTCTGACCAGACTGCGAGTCTCGTCCCATCTGGTGCCCAGCTGAGCTCCCAGACTGAAGCTGCAGGACCATTGAGCTGGTGACGTACTCCATTAGTCACGTCAAGCACTGTCAATATCCCCTCTGCCTCCGACCATCCTGCAAGTTTCTCGCCGTCTGGTGCCCAGCTCAGCTCACTGACCGATCCCTCGTGACCCTGGAGCTCCTGCCGGCTGCCAGTTGTCACGTCCCACACCTTGGCCTTCTTGTCTGACACTGACAGGCCTGCCAGTCTCTTGCTGTTCGGAGCCCAGGTCAACGTCCCCACTGTGCCTTGACAACCCTCGAGTTCCTTGACGCTCCCTGTTCTCACGTCCCACACCCTCACCTTCCCGTCTGTCCATGACCAGCCGGCGAGTCTCGTCCCATCTGGTGCCCAGCTGAGCTCTCTGATGCCTTTGGCACGCCCGTCGAGCTCTTGGCAGCTTCCCCGCGTCACGTCCCACACCCTCAATTTCCCGTCAGAGTCTGCCCAGTGACTGGTTGAGCCTCGTCTGCCGTTGGAGGAAAGCAACACAGACAGTCGAAGTTTGCCGTTGGGTTCCCAGAGCAGGCTCGGTCTGTCGGCCAGGTACTGCGGTAGGACTTGCAGCGGACCGTATGATCGGCAGTGATGATATACTGTGATGTCTCCCCGCGACAGGAGCAGCAGCCGATCGTCTTGAGTCAGACAATGGCAGGTTACGTTGGGGGCTTGAGGGTCAGCCGCCTTATGGCAGATCGTTCGGAGACACTCGCCTGTCTCCACGTCCCACAAGCAGACGATCTGACCCACATAGATGGTCACCAGCGTCATGCCATCGCCCCCCCAGCTGAGCTCCTCCACTTCCTCACCTCGGCCGTCTAACTCCAGGCAGCCTCTCGTCGCCATGTCCCACACCCGCACCTTCCCGCTTGCCCTCGTCACGGTAGCAAGCTTCCCGCCATCCGGCCCCCAGCTCAGCTCCCTCAGCTCTTCCCCGGGTACTTGGAGCTCCTGACTGCTTCTTGACTTGGAGTCCCACAACCTTGTTTTCCCTCCTGACCATGTCAGTGCCGCCAGACTCCTGCCACCCGACGGATTCGCTCTCCAACCAAGCAAGACAGTGTTGGCATCATCTAAGTCTACCTGATGGGTCACCTGAGCCGACCCAACGTCGTAAGAGAAGAGGCTGCACCGTCGTGCTAGGAAGATCCAAGTAGCCACGTTTGGGTCGTTTTCCCATCCAAAATGAAGACACAAGCAGCAGCTTTCCCCATCTTTCTCGTAAGCACACTCTCCTGTCTCCATGTCCCACACCTTTACCCTCCCGTCTGACTCGCACCACACCGCAAGTCTCGTCCCACCTGGCCCCCAGCTCAGTTCATGGATCCCTTCCTTTGGACCCTCGAGTTCCTTGCAGCTCCCTGTTCTCACGTCCCACACCCTCACCTTCCCGTCTTTCCATGACCAGCCGGCGAGTCTCGTCCCATCTGGTGCCCAGCTGAGCTCTCTGATGCCTTTGGCACGCCCGTCAAGTGTCTGACAGCCCCCTATCGTCACGTCCCACACCCTCACCTTCCCTCCTGACTCTGACCAACCGGCGAGTATCCTTCCTGCAGGAGCCCAGGTGAGCTTCTCCACCTTCCCTTCGAAGCCGCGCAGCTCCTGACATCCTCCGCGAGTCACGTCCCACACCAGCACCTTCCCAGCTGCCTCCGACCACCCGGCGAGTCTCTTCCCGTCTGCAGCCCAGTTCAGTTCCAGCATCATTCCCCCATACCCATCAAGTTCTTTGTAGTTGCCTTGCATCAAGTTCCACACTAGCACCTTCCCAGCTGCCTCCGACCACCCTGCAAATTTCGTCCCGTCTGGTGCCCAGCTCAGCTTTAGCACCGATCCTGCAGGACCGTCGAGCTCTTGACATGCTCCTGTCGTCAAGTTCCAGACTCTTAGCCGTCCCCCGGACTCTGGCAGGCCGACGAGTCTGCTCCCGTCCGGCCCCCAGCTGAGCTCTTTGACGCCTCTGATACGTCCATCGAGCACGCGAGACTTGCCTGTCTTGATGTCCCACACTTCGACCTTGCCGTCTGACTTTGACAAGCCCGCGAGATGTTCACCCTTGACGTCAGATGAATGCCTCTCGGTTGCACTGACGTTGGTGACGCGCTTGTCTGGCATGCAGACGCTCGTCCTGAGGTCGATCGTTCGCGTGCTGCATTGCTGCCAGAAAGTTGAAAACGCCAGAACATTCCCATCAGGACTCCAGCAGACGCTGCCAACTTCTTCATTGTCCCTGCTGAGCTCCAGACATCTCTCATGGGTTTCGCTTGATTGAACATCACGCACTTGTAACTTCTTATCTTTTGAAACACAAGCGATCTTCTTCCCATCGCCCCTCCACCGCAGCGTTTGAATCTCTTTCACAGACACTTTCTGCTCTGTCAGCTTCTTGCCGGTTTCTACCTCCCATACTTGTATGCTCCCATCCTTTGAACCTGTCGCGAGGGCATGACCGTCTGGCTGGAATGCTGCACAGCCCCAGTCACCATACGTTATCTTGGATGTAGCTGGCTCGCCCAAGTCAGCTCCCTGCAGCTGAGCTCCTTGCAGCATGGCGTCTGACAAGTAAGCGTGACTGGCGTCAACGTGCGAGAGATCTGCCTGACGGAAGTCTGTGCGGTGAAAGATGCCGTTCCTCAAGATCGCTCCAGCTATCCGCACCCCACGCAGGTCCAAACCCGCAAACGACACGCTGGCAGCCACCAGGATCGTCGCAGCGTTTGCCGATGCCGTCAGAGTCGCCTGGAGGCCGTCGCGTCTGGAGGCTCGGATGACGTCAAACAGCTGCTCCTTGTACTTGAGTTTACTCTGCAACACCATCGCGTGCTCCTTGAGGCTCTCAATGTCTTCTCTGAAGTTGCGGACCGAGAGACTTTCCGGCACTCGATTCTTGTTTCCTCCAGCCTTGAGCTCCTGGAATGTTGTTTCTGCAAGGAAGAAGCTTCGGAAGATGTCATGCACGAAGCTAACCTCCAAGGTGTCTCCATGCTTGTCCTGCTTAAGTTTGGCTATGCACCCCCTTAAACGCCAGAACCCCAGCTGGTGCTCAAGCTTCCTGCCTTTCATCGACAAGCTGAAAGGAGGCTGAGACCAAAATCCGTCGTCGATTTTGCTCACAATCAAGCTTGTCTTGTTCTTATACATGTGCATACAGAGCGCCTTGGCAGCTTGTGAGTACCATTGCATGTAGTTCTCGTCGTCTACGCCATCATCTCTCAACGCCTTGTCAAGGAGCTCCCGATGCTGCTTCAGCTTTCGCCACTCTCTCCTGTACCACTCTCTCGCATACTCCTTGTACATGCTGTGCCGCGTCATTCTTGATCCTGGCTTCTTCTCTCTCTTCCGGTAGAGCCCAGGCAGCACGTAGAGCATCACTTTGAGCGAGTACGGGGTGGTGACGATACTCCGGAGCTCAACGATCGACTCCATCGCCTCTTGGTACCGCTCCTTGCTCCAGCCCTCGCGGCCCTCCCTTGCAGCATGGTGCTCCATGTACCCACTCACGTGCTCCGAGTCCGTCAAGCTCAGCGGGCAGACCCAGGCTACCTGCAGGGCGTCGATTCCCTTGAGGCCAGGAGGCCAGAAGAGCTCGTTGGAGGGAGATTCCTTCTTGAGGTAGCCACTCCGACAAGTCACGATAGCCTTGATCCCCTTGCAGCCCGCCAGCTCCTCGTGCAGCTTCTCGATCACGTTCTCCGTCTTCCCCATCTCATCGTAGGAGTCCAACACTAACAGGAACGACTGCCGCTGCAGGAAATCTCGACACCTTTTCTCATCCCCGACGGATCCTCCCAGTACCTTGCTCATGTGCTCCTTCACGCTTCTGCACCTGGGCAGGTGTAGGTAGACGGGATAAGGTCTCCCTGCCTCCCATGCTTCTCCCGCCTTGATCGCCCATCTCTTGGCTAAGGTTGACTTGCCAGCCCCGGGCTTTCCGAGGAGAAGAAGTACTTGCTTGCTTCTGTCGCCCATGAAATGGCGGAGAAGCTCCTCGGACGGCATGCCAGCTGTCGCTCTGATGTCAGGGTCTGTATCAGAGCACTTGGTCTCGATGAAAGTCTCCATCGCGTCGTCGACGCTCTCCTGCTCGTCCCCAAGCATGAGGCGGAGACGACTAGGCAGGTTGTGGTAGACCCACTCCACGTGCTTGTCCTCTGACACTCTGCCCGAAGGGTTGACCTTTTCAGCAAACCCGTAGCGATGGCTGTAGCACCAGGCGTTGATGACCATGTTGGCCTTGGGAGGGAGGTAGGGAGCGCTTTGAGAGGTCACCATGTGGATCGAGACCTTGGCCTCGTCCTCCATCACATTGATGTTGGCGAAGTCCTCCAGGAAGAACTGGATCGAGTCTCCTCCTGCGGTCTTGAGCTCTCCGTCCTCACTGCCATGCGTCCCCGTGTTCACGTGGATCGACTGACCGAGCTTCGCCATCGCCAACAGGATTTCTTTCACGTCCGTTGCGTCAACCTGCTCGTCGCACTCCCACAGGTGCTGGCCAGAGGGCAGACTGGAGACAAAAAACTTCTGTTTCTGCGATGACTCGAGGACGAGACGATCTTGAGAGTGTACAAGTCCAAGCTCTCTTCGATCATCTTTCAGGTTAAAATTCCGCCCGGGCACCAAGTCATCGCTGGAAACCAGACCTCGTTTCCTCTCACCGCCCTGACCGCCCTGACCTCTCTGCCCTGCTGGCTGCTCCTTGTAGTTCTCAGCTTGTCTGTTCTCGTCTCTCCTCGGCTCCTTCTGGTCTCTGCTGGGCGGCAGGCGGGAGCCCTCGAGCTCCCTCTTCATGCAAACCTTGCTGGGAAACACACAAATATTCAATGTTCAATTTTGAGACTTGAAAAGACCAAATTGAAAATCTGAGTACCAAAAAGATTACTTTTTAAAGTTTTTACCTAATTGAACATTGCTAGTTATACAAGCTCGCCTCAGAATTTTTCAATAGGTTTGTCGTGCTTGCAGCCGCTTGTGTAGCTGGGATAGACTGAAGTTTTTGCTGCCTTTTTCTTTTCCTAGTTTACTTTTGAGGCGGATTTGTTGGTATTCCATTTTCTTCTTCGTTGAGTCTGTTTCCACTTGAGTAAAACATTATCGCTGACTTACTAGAAGGTTTACTAGTCTCAGTAGAACTCACTGAACTCCATCTTGCTCGACTTGCTGCGAGCGAACCTGCGAGCCCGTCAACCAGCATGCCAGACTAGCCGCCCAGTAGCGCACCAGGTGAAGATGTTGGCGAGAGTGGGAACGAAGATGATGAGGAGAGCTGTGGTGTAGTTGGGATCGAAGGGAAAGTCGACAAGGAGCTCCCCCCTAGAACGCCACGTGAACGTCAGGTCACCAGGAGGGCAGGAGCTTTGCATCACCACTTGACAGCAGCGGAGGAGGCAAGCACAAGGAAGAAGAGCTTGGTGAGGTACTCGCCCTCCGAGTCCTCCAGCGCTGTTCCATCCTTCCTCTCTGCCAGTGTGTCAACCCGATCGTCTTCTCCTCTCCTTGCCCCACCTCCTGCTACCCCTTCTGCCCCGACCTCCTTCACTTGCCCCGACTTGCTGTACTCGTAGATGCGATACGCCGCGTACCAGCACGTGAAGTCCCCGACGACCGTCAGAGCGCTCTGATCTCAGTCACTTCCTCCTCCTCCTCCTCCTCCTCCTCCTCCTCCTCCTCCTTCTCCTCGTCCTCGTCCTCGTCCTCGTCCTCGTCCTCCTCGTCCCCCTCACCTGCAGCGCTACGAGTCCGCTCACAGCGGGCGAGTTATAGAAGAGGTGGTAGGTGCAAGCACAGAGGCCACTTGAGTGGAAGGGAAGCATACCCCACGTGAGCCCCTTCCACCTGCTCCTGAAGTCACTCCTCCTCGTCCTCGTCCTCGTCCTCGTCCTCCTCGTCCTCCTCTATCTCCTGCTGCTGCTCCTGCTGCTCGTGCTCGTGCTCGTGCTCGTGCTCGTGCTCGTGCTCGTGTTCCTCCTGCTCTTTCTCCTGCTCCTCCTTGCTACTGTCTCTTGCTGCTGCTGCTACTGCTGCTGCTGCTGCTCCTCCTCCTCCTTTTCCTCCTCACCTCGGGTTCCCCGTCACTTCTGCATATCTCCACACCAGCCCCATCGCCTGCTTGCCGTCACTTCGCTTCGCACGTCTCGCCGCCTCACCGCCAGCCACTCGATGAGGGAGGAGACGTGGACCATCCAGGTAGGGAGGGAGAGCGCGTTCGACGGCTCTCCATGCACGGTCAGGGCAGGTAGCGACATGGTAGCGACCGCCGCAAGAGCCACCCAAGATGCAGAAAACAACTTCTGAAAGAAGATGAAGGTGAGAACACGAGATGATGATGATTGAGATTGATGACGACGACGACGGTGGTGGTGGTGGTGGTGGTGGTGATGATGATGATGATGGAGATGATAATGAAGATGGCGATGGACGAGGAGCGCGAGGACGGAATTTACCTGCCCAGCAGCAGAGCGCTTTTCCTCATCTCTAGTCGGGATCGCTCGGCGGAAACCAAGAACAATCAGGAGGTTGGTGATAGTCAGGAAGGACTCTGCCCCTCCATGCAGCCAGTCGACGTCAGCAAGCTGTGCCGAGTACATGGTCTTGGCGGCGATGGCTGCTGGAATCGAGACTCCAACCTGCCCCAGATTATCACTGACATCGCTCACCACCATGAACTCTCAGAGTGCTTCTTCCACACATCCTCTCTCTCTCTCTCTCTCTCACCCATCCTCTCCTCTCCTCTCCTCTCCTCTCCTCTCCTCTCCTCTCCTCTCCTCTCCTCTCCTCTCCTCTCCTCTCCTCTCCTCTCCTCTCCTCTCCCCTCCCCTCCCCTCCTCTCCTCCATATCATCTTCTACTTACAAACGCGAGGAGAAACTTGAACCCGAACAACCCCATCTCCGGCGTTTTGTTCTCAGGCCTTCCAAGATGGTACAGAAAGCCAAGGTACGGAAAGAGCGAGAATGCGAAGAGACCTCCCGCGATGTCGTCGAGCGTGAGGGGAGGAAGTGAACCCAATGCGCTTAGCTGCATCTTGCAAGACGCTCGACCTCTCCGATGCTGCCGCGAGTCGGAGCTGGGTAGGAGAGAAAGAGAGGGAGCACTACGAGAAGTGAGGAAGGAAGAGAAGGAGGCAGAGAGAGGAGCATGTGCGCGGGGAGAGAAGGCAGGAGAAGGAGGAGCAACAGCAACGAGAGAGGGAGGAGGAGGAGGAGGGAGGAGCGCGACGGCCGCAGAACATGCGAGAAGCAGCAAGGAGGGCAGGCGCAGCATTGTTGCTTGTGTGGGGGATCCCCAATTGAGTAAACATATTACTTAACCAACAAGGAAGGTGAAAGAATGCAACAAGCGACGTGATGGAAGAGTGTGGAAAAGAGGAGAGAGGAAAGAGGAGAGAGGAGAGGAGAGGAGAGGAGAGGAGAGAGGAGAGAGGAGAGGAGAGGAGAGGAGAGGAGGGGAGGGGAGAGAGGAGGGGGGAGGGTAGGAGGGGAGAGAGGAGAGAGGAGAGAGGAGAGGAGGGAGAGAGGAGAGAGGAGGAGAGGAGAGAGA